TTTATTATTTCATTTTCTCATAAATTAATTTAATTAATTTTACAAAGTTTCGTTTTTTGTACTAATTTTTGTCAAATCTTAGAATTTCAAAATTTGTTACCACTTTCAAAAACATTTCGAAAATGCATTATTTATTTTCATTCTAAATTTGTTTGAAACTAAAAAAGTTCGCATTTTTAAAAAATGAAACTTTTTAAGATTTCTAAAATAAATATTATTTAAAAATAATAGAAATTCGAAAAATATTCATTTTATAGAAATGTTCACAAATTCAAAATATTTTTCGTGATCAAAAAGACATTTTTGAAAATTGATTTGAATGTTCAAAACAAGTTTCTATTTTAAAAAATTATTCACAAATTCAAAAAATGTTCGTTTTTCCGCCTTAAAAATGGTCATGTTTTCAAAAAGTGTTTGTGCATTTAAGAAAATCTTCCTATTTCAAGTTTTGTTTTCCTTTTTCTAGAAATTAACTTTTTTAAAAAAAATGCTCACATGTTTTTAAAAAAATCAGGAGGTCACCACAACCTCGACAAGGAGGCGGACCTGAAGGAAAAAAAATGCACGAATTGGGTAGTGGCCGCTACTCCCACCAACCCCACTACTATAAAGATCTCGCGGACCAAACATGACCCGCGAGAGCACCACAATTCTCCGCTCTCTCGCCCCACTATTGTGTGGAGACCGTTTTGATGGACACATCAATTATCTCTCTCGATGCTTCTCGCATCTCTTCCGTTGTAACGCACGGGCGTATGTGCTAATAATAATAATCTAAAGTGTGTACTCTAGATTCCTAGCTTTCAACTACAAATCCTCAAGTTTCAAAATAGAGTCGTGAGAATATAGACATTATAAAATAGAGCTAATATTTTTTCTTATTGTAGAAGATAATACAATCACACACACAAAAAAGTTCATTTCTCATGGCCTCAACCAATTTATTAGTACAAACCAAATAACTCAAGGCCGTTATATCTTTGTGCTGAAACGGTATGAAGAGTAGGAGATGCTGGTGTTGGTCCAACTGTGGTGGATCAGCTCCGCCCTGGACTCCTCCCCGGCGGCGCCGAGCGCGACGTGCAGCGGGTAGAAATGATGCGGCGATGGGTGCGCCACCTCAGCGTGCGGCGCCTTCTCCTTGTATCGCTTCACGTCCTCGTACCTGGCCCATGCCAATGATGCGAATGAGAACGTGGAAACAAAAATCAACACGACCACGACGGCCATCGAGTTTCCAGTCAAGTTCGTCTCAATAGTACCTCCCGTCTATGAGCGAATCCTTGAGCCAGGTGTCGAAGTCGGAGGCCCACTGCGGCGGCGGCGCGTCGTGAGGCCCCATCCTGGCGAGGTTGTGCGTGGCGGTGCCGGAGCCGAGGATGAGCACGCCGTCGTCCCGGAGCGGCGCCAGCGCCCTGCCGACGTCGTAGTGGTACGTGCCGTCCCTCTCCGTCTGCACGGAGAGCTGGCACACCGGGATGCCGGCGTCGGGGTACATGAGCATCAGCGGCACCCAGGCGCCGTGGTCGAGCCCGCGGCCGTGCTCCTCGCCCACCGGCCCGAACCCGGCGTCCTCCAGGAGCCTCTTGGTCCTCTCGGCCAGGTCAGGCGCGCCGGGCGCAGGGTACGTCAGCTGCGTGCGCATACGTGCGATCGAGCAATGTCAACTTGCATTCGTGACACATTTGCAGTAGGAAAGAGGAGACGTCGACAGGGGCGGCCAGACTGGGACCTTGTACATCTGGTCCGGGAAGCCATGGAAGTCGTGGATGGTGTCGTTGGTGCCGCGGACGACGTTGACCGCCGGGGCGTCCGTCTCCCAGTGACCCGACACCACCAGGATGGCGCGCGGCGCCTGCGTGCCCGCGATCGCCGCCGGCAGCCACGACTGGAAGAAGCTCCGCGCCGGGATCGTCTCGTCGATGCAGACCGTCGGCGCGCCGTGCGACAGGAAGAAGGTGTCCATGGCAACCTCCGGCGGTGGTGTCTGATACTTGGGTTTGGGCTTGACTTGGCTCTGTCCCATCCATCACCGGCAGCCCGTCTACTTATGGGCGCTGCCAGCGTGGTGGTTGATGGGGTTCGTCTGACTTGGTGACTTTCTCAGCACTTCTCCTTTTGACATTCTCGTGTGCTATGTTACATTTGAGTTCTTAACGTAATCTGTCAGAGTAAAATATAGTTGCAAGGAAAGGAAGTCAATAGATTCACTATGTGGGGTACTATAAAAGATAGTACTGTGCAAGAAAAGAGTATACTCTCGGAGAAATGTAAGACTAACTACAGTCGAGAGTTGAGTTGATATCCTATTCTATGCTAATTGAACACGTGACCCCTTGAAGAAAATATCCATGAAGGGAATCACTAGGTTTACTTTGTGGGCTAAAAAACATTATATGAAAAATCTCTGTGTAGATCTTCTGACCCCTGGATTACTTCGTTGGGAAGAACTCAGCAGCTAACCTATAAGGCCATCCATCGGAAAAAGAGAGCTAAAAGGTGATCATGGTGTCTAATAAGTAAGCGTAACCATCTTTATCAAGTTAGTCTGCTTACCAGCATATACATGACTAATATGGCTACATAACTATGGTCGTCTACCGCTTCAGTCTAACTTAATGGCTAGTGGCAGTTTATTTTGTTGTTGCTTTTGTTCTTCTTCCAAAGATGAAGCAACAATTCATCATCTTGTCTTGATGGTGTTTGTTACCGATAATTGTTGCGTTTAACAATTTATATCAGATCTTTGGTAGCACCGAACTGGGCGTAACTCAGATGATTAGATTCCTTGTGGTGGAACCAGCCGCCTGGGTTCAAGTCCTAGACTTGGTTCAGTCTTTCCGGCAATGTTTGTTCACTAGGAGGAGATGTTCCTGCCGACTACGAATGTGCATGTGCATGTATGTGGGCATCTTCGTTGTGCTGTGTTAGAAAAAGATCTTTGGGTAGCCCACTCACACAATTTTTTCAAAGGGGACAAGTAAATTAAAAAGTTGTGCCGCCAAGTCAAGTATTGCATGCACCATTTATGTTGGCACGAGGCCTCTATGCGCTTCTTCGTTGTTGCATGTGTCGTAGCTAGAGATTGAAGCCGTCTCGGCTAATATAAAAAGTAAACATTCAACAACAACATCATGGCTTTCAACTAACATGCTACTGACTTCCAATGGCGGAGCCAGGAAATTAAGATTAGGGAGGCCAAATGACATATTTTTTTTATTACAGGGGCCAAACTACACTGATGCATGTATTTTTTTCCTAATTTTTGCATTGTTCATCTCCGAACTAATAGCAAATCAGGGATGTCAGGGGAGGCCAGGGCCCCTGCCGGTCCCCCCTGTCTCCGCCACTGCTGACTTCCAATAATCACAAAAAATAGTTCTCCCTGTGTGGCAAATGGCATCCAATGTCACTCCATTTCCACAACATTCAAATTATGTTAAAAAACCATTCAACTTATCATAATCCTAATTTCAATTCTAGATCCTAATTTCCAAGTCTTATGCTACCCGCGAATGAGCAAAATCCCAATGTTTAACAAAGAACACCAACTATGAACTCTCACGTCACCAACTTCATCTAAAATCCTCAACTTTCAACCCTCACAATATCAACTTCTAAATAATCAAGATCCCAACCCAACTCCCATCCCCAACTTTCAACTCAACAAATCTGAATTTGAGCCATCAAGTCCTAGCTTCCATCCCCGTAACCATGAAGTTACAATTAGCAAGCTACTAGGTTTCAGCTAGGAAAATTTTAATAAGAAGGAAAAGCAGGAAAAAACTTATCGGGCTATATGCGCCAAGGGGTGTGGTTGGTGAGATAGGTGTCGACCCGATCCGTCTGTTGGGAGAGCTTCCACAACGTGGTGTTTGCACCCCCAAGTATACAAGCAAAAATGGGAGCCACATGTTGCGGTGCCCGCTTACAAGTGAACCTATCGTCCTCGATAAGCTTGATGATTCTCTTGGTCATGCCTCATGTACCCGGTGCTAGGTATGTCAACTACATACCTCTAAATAATATTGCTACTACGTTACATTGGATTTGTGGTATGCAGTTTCTTATCTTGGACCTATGACCAACTAACAACTTGTTGTCTCCATTATATTCTCCTCCATCACCCCAATTCTGCCATCTTGCGGTCACCCAAGTTCAGTGTTCTGGGGAGGGTATGTTAGTCGATCTCACCCATTGTTCTCCTGCAGTCGATCTCACCCATTGTTCCTGTAGCTGATCTCGCCATTATTGTTCTCCTCCATGGCTCCACCCACATTTGAGGATGTTGTTTCTACTTCCTACCTAACGTATTGCCATTGTGCGCCTTTTAAGCTTGAAGACCGTAAAGGACATTACTCTGAGGAGATGTGCAGGGGAAGTTTCACTAGTGGGCCTGTCGTGCTTAATTAAACCGAAATGATAAGTGCCACACATGTGACACAAAGCACTCCAGGCATAGTGTCTTTTACAACTGAAGTTGCCATCCGAAAAGAAGTTGACATGCTTGATAATTAAAGTTGCCATCCTCGCGTCACTAAACTTGCCATAAAATACGTTCGGAGTTGCCATGTGTTGGTGCCACACGTGTGGCACTTATCAGGGTCCTAATTAAATTACAACCATTGATTCTTGATTGGCCCGTAAAACCCCATGTGTCTAGCAAAGCTCCTAAAATAAAGATCGTGTGCTCGTTCCCTCACTAAAAGAGTGTGTGATTTACCGTTGCTGTTGTGTTGTTTCAAGGCGCCTCGATCAAAGTGTTGAAAAATTATGAACTCTTTCACAGACACGAACAGAATTATGTAAAAGATGCCATGTAAGACAGCAAGAGTAATACACTGTAAGGACCACGACCCAACACGAAAGCAAGTGATCTTTCACAACGCATTTCAAGACCCACGAGTCCACCGCACCTAGCGTAATAACATGCTTATTAGTGCCAACCAATCCACCGACGCTCGCACTAGTCAGCTGCCAACACAGCTCGATGGAGGCCGTCAGTTCTTGGTGGTGAAGCGATACGAGGCGTACGAGAGGGAGGCGTTTGTCCAGCTACTGTGGATCAGCTCCGCCTTGGACTCGTCACCGGCGGCGCCGAGCGCGACGTGCAGCGGGTAGAGGTGCTCCGGCCGCGGGTGAGCCATCTTGGCGTTGGGCGCCTTCTCCTCGTACCGGTTCACGTCGTCGTACCTGCCGCCGAGAAGCGAGTCCTTGAGCCAGGTGTCGAAGTCGGAGGCCCACTGCGGCGGCGGCGAGCCGGAAGGCCCCATCTTGCGGAGGTTGTGGGTGGCGCTGCCGGAGCCGAGGACGAGGACCCCCTCCTCCCGGAGCGGCGCCAGCGCCCTGCCGAGGTTGTAGTGGTAGGCGGCGTCGCGGTCGGTCTGCACGGAGAGCTGGCACACCGGGATGTCGGCGTCCGGGAACATGAGCATCAGCGGCACCCACGCGCCGTGGTCCAGCCCGCGGCTCCGGTCCTCCTTCACCGGCCCGAACCCGCCTTGCTCCAGGAGCTCCTTGGTCCTCCTGGCCAGATCAGGGGCGCCCGGCGCAGGGTACTTGAGCTGGACGGTTCCAATGGTACACTTCAGTTAGTTCAAGCAGAGAAGACTGACAACGATGCCCATATAGCTGAAGCTTGAAGAAGTTACGTCAAACTGAATTCATTCAGACCATTTTTAACTAATTCAAATTTTAAACTGACCGTGTTTATCAACTGTTTGGCTGGTGCAAACAAACATGGGATCTTTCTGCGGGAAGGTTCGCACGCAGTAGGCGCTGAAACTGAGTTGCTCAAGGCTATATCGACGCACGTCACCGGACCAGAGTATCGAATTGAGTATCGAATCAAGTAGTAGTAGTAGGTGGGGAATCATTCTTGGATGCTCATTTCGACCACCTCTGACGCCTGAATTGTCTTACTGTGGTGGTTGTTGATCAATCATCAACCTTTCAAATGACAGTGGCAAGCCCACCATACCGGAACCGGATCCGCTAACATTGAGAAGGAAAGTTAGAGAAGCTATAATACTCTAACTTTCCTTCTTTCTTTCATATGATTATGGCTAAAACAATTTAAATTAATTTACAAATTGATGATCTATCATGTACATTTATAATAATTACATACAAACAAATTGATGGTGAAATAAAATTAATTTTAAATTATTTATATCTACAATAAATACCAATAGTAAACAACCTACTAACTACCTGCTAACAGTCCCTAACTTTTCTTTTTCATTTTACACTAGGCAAACAGTGTAGCACTGTGACTTTCCTTCATAATGTTAGAGGATCCGGTTCCCACCATGCCTACACCTTAGATGATGAGTAAGCCCATCCCATCGATATCCACATGGGCCAGGGGGTTGGTGATGCTCAGATTGGGTAGGTGTTGCATATATTCCATTTCCTGTGCCTACAAAATGATCTAGTACAGGAGTCGGTACAGGACGGCCATATCCCAACCACTTGTGACAGTGCAGGTGCCGATTGTATATCATAAATTTCTATTCAGTACGGCGCTCCTTATGTCCAGTTGACCAAATTATCCGCCGGGGATACTATTTGGGCCTCATCATTGGTTCAAAGAAATATCATAAGAATTTTGGAGAATTATGTATTTTGTATAATTCTTGTCTCCATGACTTGTTTGGTTTATGGGGTTGGAATTGAACTAATGAGAATTTTTGCTACGGTCACTTCTGAATGGAATTCGGAAAAAGAATAAACCATTTGTTTCTATGGGAACTATGGCATGCACCTAATTACTGTTTCTTGTGATGCAAACAAACAATTTTCATTACACAATTTGTGTGATTTCAATTCATATAGGGTTCAATGTGCCATGATACCCGAATCTTGCATTTTTAATGTTGTTGTGCTTTTAGGATTCTACGAGTCAAAGAGGCCCGAATATGCGACATCTAAGATCATAGTCAATTTTTTTGGTGTCTTCTTTGTCCGGTGACATGCCCTTCTACCTCGCCCAACTGATTGTCTCCCCAACCTGTGGTAGAAATTGCTTTCATGTTGCTTCACCGGCTCAGCTAGACCCACTAGTCGAACTCTAACCGCATCCTCTCCTCCCCCCATTTTGTTGTCTTCATTTTTTTTCGAGAGTACGCCAATGGCGTACCTTATCTTTATAGAAGATAGAAAGAATTTACAAGAGAGGCACGAGCTAGATGCTAGGATCTAAGCTCGGCCAACACCCATTACACCCAAACTACACTACTCTCTAGAGCTACTCTCTCACAAAATGTGTTAAACCTCCAACTCCTACACCGGCTTGTCTCCATTGCTTTACTGCTCTGAATATCTCGTCAACCAATTCTCTTGGGGTTCGCTGTTGCTGTAGCCTATTGAACACACGCGCGCTCCGTTGCTTCCACAACTCCCATCCGACCACGATGACGAACATGTCGTAGCCTCTCTTAAGACCCTTAGGCATCCCCGTCCTAGTCTCGATCCACCAATCGAGGAAGGTATCATCCACCACCGGAGCCCGCGTATTTAGGGCTAGGTCTTGAAAGCAGGTGTGCCACACCTGTCGAGCATAGCCACATTGTACCAAGATGTGTTCGGCATTGTCTTCATCTTGCAAGCATGTGTAGCATGCAGACGGTCGGTCTTGTAATCCATGCTTTGCCCTTCGGTCAGAGGTCCAAATACGGTGCTGCACAGCCAGCCAGATGAAGATTTTACACTTCAAAAGTGCCCAACTTTTCCAGAGGCAGGAGGCATACGGAGCCCTTTCATCACCGAGGCAGAGTCTTTGATAGGTTGACTTGGCAGAGTATAATCCAGAAGGGTCAGCAGGCCAAGAAAAACAGTCTGGATTGCTCGCAGAGTATAATCCAGATGTTGTCTTCATTTTCACCTCGGCTCGCTGGGGGTAATTTGAAGCCCAAGAAGCAATCCCCTAAACCAGGCACCAAACCTTAACGCCGCCTCGCATCCACTACCGCCCCACAGGCCTTCTTCTCTCACCCTCTCCAGTGGCGGGGTGCACCCTTACGGTTGGGAAAGTGTGTGCGACATCTTATCGCACCTCCTTAAGGACATGTTTATGGACCTAGAGGAGGTGCAGAGACAGTGACTCGGCGATTATTTGAATTCATGCTCTAGTTAATTCATTCAAAATTTTGAACTATTAAAGAGAGGCGGACAATATATTTCAACACCGATGAACCATTAGACACCACACCGGACATTCCAAATAGGTGGCGAACAATGTATTTTGACGAGGCCTTGTTCACCACCCCTCTGACGAATGCTGATTAAGCATCTACACCGAGTCCAGCGGCCTGCTAGCTGATTGCTAACGATCGCTTGCTAAGTTGCTAACTACGAACTGTAGCCATCCGCCAAAGCGTATTCTCAATATGTACAATTTTTCAAGTTAACGATGTTGCAGGATATAACACTTATTTTTTCCTCACGAACTGTAGATGTCCGACTTTTTTGAGCAAGTTTTGGAAAGGAAATACTACCAACCAATTCTGGCATGCGCCCCTGCCATGGCCAATCCCCAACCAAAACCAGACAACGGCGCAATCCGCCAGTTCTGGCTATTGGAATGGAGCAGCGAATCCACCCAGATTCTGATCGACCCAGCCAGCTAGAACTACATCAGATAGGTCGAACCAAAAACGAGAGGGGATTCCCGACGGAATCGCGCACGAGAAAGAAAGAAAAGGCAAGACGGGGAACGGACCTGGTACATGGACTTGGGGAAGCCGTAGAAGTCGTGGATGGTGTCGTTGGCGCCGCGGACGGCGTTGACGGCCGGCGTGGCCGTCTCCCAGTGGGCGGACACAATCAAGATGGCGCGCGGCCGCTCCGGGCCCGCGACGGCCGCCGGCAGCCACGACTGGAAGAAGCTCCGCGCCGGGATCGCCTCGTCGATGGAGAGCGTGGGCGAGCCGTGCGACAGGAAGAAGGTGTCCATGGCGGGCGCGGCCGGCGGGCGCCTCCCGGTGGCGGCTTGTGGCTGGTTCGGGTGCTGGTCGTCGCCGCGCGGCTGTGGAGACGCGTGCCTGTCCGGTTTGGGCTTGGCCTGGCTGTGGGTCTGCCCCATCGCCGCCAGCGGGGGCTTTCCTTATTGTGCGCGCCGCGGGCGTTGGTGCTGAGATGGTGGTGACGCGGTTTTGGGTTCTCGGCTCGGGCGTTTTTTGGAGGATGCTCGTGTGTCGCGTGGTTGGTAGGGGTAGGAGAGGAGAGCCCAGGCGCGTGCTCCTGCTGCTTCTTTCCTCTTCTTGCCTTCCCATGTTTTGGCACCGACAGAAATGAGTCAATGATGGCATCTTTCTTTCTTTTATTTTTGATTGATGAGAAAGAGGTATTTTCCCTTTTAACAATGGACATAAAGAGGGCATTTTTTTAACAAAGTACAGACGCAAGCGTTTATATAGATGCACATACACTCACCCCTATGAACGCACACATCCGAAAGGCTTATCATCTTGAAATTTACGAAGTCATCATAGGCACCTCGTCGTCGACGGAAACGTCTTCTCCCACTGAATGGGCATCGCCAGAAATCCATAAATAAATGCGAGCACTAGGACTTGAACTCTGGTGGCCTGGGGATACCATGATCCCTTTAACCATCCAATCACAGGTTGGTTCGCAAAGAGGGCATAGTTTACGGACGTGGATTTAGTGAACATGGTTCTACGCACACCTTTTGTGAATAGTAAATTTCAAAAAATACTAAAAATATCTTATTTTTTTGGTAACATACATAGTCAACTGGTATGCTCAGGTATGAAGTTTCACAAAGAAGTGACATCTGTGGTATTCTGTGTAAAAAATGACAAAATCGATGCTATATGAAAAAGGATTGTTTGATGAATAGTAATGCCCCGGTTGTATTTTCTTCACTACGAATACCTCGGGTGTTATTTCTTCACGAAATTTCACACGTGAATAGAATGGTCGGCCAAGTTTGATACCCAAACTTTCAGATTTTTAGAATTCTCCCACTATTCTTTTTAATTTGTTGTTCATGCGGGTGCATATGGAACCATGTTCACCTCTGCCTTTTCCGCATATTTTGTGCCACACAAAAGGAACCCATTTACACTCTACAAATAATCATTAAAATAAATGTAATCTTGGGATGTCAGTTACTACAAGTAATCTTTACATACATGTCTCGATCAATATAAATTTAATACAAAAATCATTAGAGTTTTAGATGCCTATCAGCACTAAAAACGGTCATTAAATTTGTTAGATTCAAGAACAATCAGTCATTCGTGTATGAGTTCTCAAAAAAACCATTCGTTTAGACCCTACTAAAGGAAGCTACCAATCCTACATTTTTAAGGGTTCATCCCACTACAACGCATTCTGTCAACATGCAGATTGCCACTTCGGTATTGCCATGTCACACTTCAGTTACAAATAACACACCTTAGCATTGGTAGGGGATGGTCGAGGTTGGTGCTCAACCTGTGCGATTACGGGTGTGCCGAGTCGGGATGTTTCATGTTCAATATGATCTTTTCCTTGAAAGAAGTCCACATACCCCCCCTGAACTGTCAGATTTCGAGCAGATCACCCCCCAACTGCAAAACCAGATTCTTAATCCCCTAGACTAACATATACCAGACAAATCACCCCCTGAGGCCGTTTTGGTGGGTTTGTGAGGCCGGTTTTGCCCAAGGGGCGGGGGTGGTTGAGCATTTTAATCGAATGGGCTGCCACGTCGGCAATAGTTGGGTGGTGACGGTCTAGTACACCCCCTCGCCCTGCCTCGACCGCTCCGCTTCACCTTTTCATCTCCCGCTCCCCTCTCTTCTCTCTAACGACACGGCGGCGGTGATTTGGGCGACCACGACGGTGCAGGCGACGATCGTCGGCATGTACTAAACAACTTGACCGTCGGCTACGATCAGGTCAGTGCGCCCTAATATTCCTCTCAAATCTTGCCTTTCTATCCACATTAGGGCTGTCAGTTATGGGTTTCAGGGGATTTGATTTGGGGGCTAGGGTTTTGTTCATGTTTTTTCGCAGAGTGGTGGAAGCATATTAGATGGCGTTTTAGGGTGCCTTCTGTAGATGAAATCGATGTGCATATGCTTAGTATATGAATAGATGATGTATGGTTTTGTTCATCTGAAAAAAGACAATTTTTTGAGAAAAGTTTAGAAGTTCAGTTAATTCAGTTGTTTATTGTCTGAATTTTTTGTTTAGGAAATGGATCCACTAGACTATCTTTCGGTCAGATTTTCAGCAAGTGATTGGGAGTTTGAATGTGCAAATGAGTTCCAAGCAGAGCATACAGATGATATGCAGAGAGAGCAAGGGCATGGGCATGCAGAGCATGTAGAGGAGGTGCAGGCAGAGGAAAGAAATGCAGCGAGTGATCAATGCAGGACCAAATTGCCCGTGTTCAGAGCTGCAAGTTTAGTGTCTGATAGAGGAAAAGGGGTTGCAACCGAGGAGCTGCATATTTCAGGTGACTATGACAATGATAGTGACAGTGACTATGTTGTGCCTCCTGCTGAGAGCAATAGTTCTGCTGAAGATGAAGAAATCATTGAGTACCAAAAATATGCTAAAGAATTCAAGGAGAAAAAGAGAAAGAAAATGCTAGGGGAGGAAGAAGCAAAAGCTTGCAATGTTCCTGAGGAGTTCATTGTACCAGAAACATGTAAGCTAGATGATGATGCAGATGACACTCCATATTTTGAAAGTGATGATGATCTTTCTTATGATGAGGCTAGTGATGGAGAGGTTAATGCAGTCAGAAGGAGAAAGACCAACCATAAGGTGTATGATGATACTTCAGAAGCACCCCAGTTTGAACTTGGCATGGCTTTTACTGACAGCAGAGAATTAAAAAATGCACTAGTTAAATATGGACTGAAGAATTTTCATCATTTGATATTTCTTAAGGATGAGAAGAAGAGAGTAAGTGCCAAGTTAGCTGGGTTGGTTGCAAATGGAACATCTATGGGTCAATAAATAGCAAATCTGACTGGTTGATAGTTCACAGGTACAATAATGTCCACACTTGTGTGCCTAGGAGAGACAATAAGCTGGTGACTAGTACTGTGATTGCTAGGAAATACTTCAGGCAGATTAGGGACAATCCAACATGGAGGGTGGAGAAAATGCAGGAAGCTGTACTAGAAGATATGCTAGCAGATGTGACCATATCGAAATGCAAGAGGGCAAAGAAGCTTGTCATGGAAAAGCTCATAGATTCAACTAATGGTGAGTACTCGAGAGTATTTGACTACCACCTTGAGTTACTTAGGAGCAATCCTGGGAGTACCGTTGCAGTGACATTAGACCCAGATGTGCGTGACAGGAATGTTTTTAAGAGGATGTATGTCTGTCTAGATGGCTGCAAGAAAGGTTTCATGGCTGGGTGTAGAAGGGTTGTTGGTTTAGATGGTTGTTTCCTGAAGGGTGCAGTGCATGGACAGATTCTCTGTGCAATTGGGAGAGATTCAAACAACCAGATGTACCCAATTGCATGGGCTATTGTTGAAGTCGAGAGTTATGACAGTTGGTACTGGTTTTTGTCATTTCTGCAGAAGGACATTCAGATAAATAATCATGGTGATGGTTGGGTATTCATTTCTGACCAGCAGAAGGGGCTCATCAGAGCAGTAAATGAAATTTGTCCACAAGCAGAGCATAGAATGTGTGCTAGACACATCTATGCAAACTGGAGAAAGCAACATAGGGAGAAGATATATCAGAAAATTTTCTAGGCATGTGCAAAAGCTTCAGACAGAACAGGATTCAACTATCATAGAGCCAAGCTAGCTCAAAAAACTGTAGAGGGGGCAAAAGACATTATGAAAACCAATCCTAAACATTGGAGCAGAGCTTTTTTCAAACTTGGCTCATATTGTGATTCTGTGGAAAACAATATGTGCGAGTCCTTCAACAACTCCATCATGAGAGCAAGGTTTTATCCTGTGATTACTAGTCATGAGATCATAAGAAAGAAAGTTATGGCTAGAATTCAAGAAAATAGGGCAAAGCCTAAAAAGTGGAGTGGTTCAATATGCCCTAATATTTTTAAAAAGTTGCAGCTCAACATAAAGAGATCAGGAAGATACAATGTGCTATGGAATGGCAAGGAAGGATTTGAAGTGCAGGAGGGTGAGTACAGAAGGTTTACAGTTAACCTGGAAAAGTGGACTTGCTCTTGCAGATATTGGGAGCTCTCTAGACTGCCCTGTTGTCATGCAATCAGTGCAGTATACACATGTGGTCTGAGCATTGATGACTTCATTGCACCTTGTTACTCCATCAACACATACAACAAGATTTATGACCATGTGTTACAACCAGTAGAGGGAAAAGAGAGCTGGCCTGTATCTACAAACCCTAGACCAGACCCTCCTGTTAGGGTTAATAACAAGCCTGGGAGGAAGAAGACAGAAAGAACTAGAGAGGAGCAAGATAAGCCCAAAAGCAACAAAAATTCAAGGAAAGGAGTTAAGATGACTTGTTCAGTATGTGGCAGCACACAACACAATAAGAGGAAGCATTCAGAAAAAATCCAGGACAATAGCTATGTAAAGGCAGCAAAGAGAAGCAGAGAAAAAACACAAGCTGCAAGCATGGCTCAGGTAATTTTGTATGTACAATTTTATAATCCTAGATTCCACTCAAAGTACAATTTTAGTATGTTGTGCTCAGGAAAGCATCTTGCACTATGGAAATATTTCACTCAAAGTACTATTGCACTGATGTTGTTGTTATGCAGGACAAACCAGCAAAAACAATCAAGAAATCAAGCAAAAAAGGCAATAAAACATCTCATCAAGAAGGGCCATGCTCTCAGACAGCATCAAGTTCACAGCCAGGCATATCCCAGCCAACACAAAGTTCGCAGCCAGCTCCAAGGGCTCCAAGGGCATCAACAATACCAAGGCCATTTAGGGCACCAAGGGCTTCAAACTCTCAGCCAAACACATCTTCATCACAAGTTCCAGCTTATGGTGATGGGAGGTTCGAGTGGCTTCTAACAGGAAAGAGGGGATAGTCTTGTTAAGCTTATGACCTTATGATCAATGGTGATGTGCAACATCAGTGCTAAGCCTG